AATTAAGAAAAGAAATCCTGCCCCGTTGATTTAACAGATTTTAAAAACACATTACAAGAAGAATGGAATGCTATCTCTCAAGATTTTATTGATAAATTGATTAGAAGTATGCCAAGATTGGAAGCAATTCTAAGAGCGAGAGCGGACAACACTAAGTACTGATTGTAGTCCACGTTTTAGCCTTTCCTAAGCATTTATGTAAAAATGGTAAGTACAAAAAGTGCTTCTTTCCTGTAATTTTTTATGGTTTGTTTTTGTCATTTAATCATTTGTTTTTTCGACGTTTGCAAATTTAAATTAACGAATAATAAGCAATTTGTAAACTTACATAATTGTCACAAATATCCATGATATTTTGTTTTATACACACTTTTTATTTGCGCTCCTCTGAATTTGACCATGAGTATATATGAAATATGTCAATGTCACTGATGTAAAAGGGCATAATATATTCTCTTATCTAAATGCTAGCCTCACCTTCACGCTTTGCATCGTTCTAACAAGGTGTTGTTGGCGAACTCAAATTCTCTGACTGGTAATAGGATGTAGCGTTACCAGCGCTACGGATACCGGCTCTGCGCACACCTTATACAGGGCTATTTTGCAATAACCAGCCAAATTTACAGAGAAGGTTCAGAACAAGTAATATAGGCAAACGGTGAAGAAAAATTAATTAAAAATATCTCAAACATTCTGTCCTTTTTATCTTTAAAATTCAAAATGCATGGTAATGCATTATTTACATATTCGGAAGTGTCAATTGATAGGCAAAAATGTTGTTGCCCATATATCACATTCAATTTGGCATAATTTCAAATAAAAGTAGAAGCCTTATTTACTTTTCAAAAACTGCAATAACAATATATCATCATTTATAAATTTATATATTTGAACTAAAGTTTAAAATTTGGCTACTCTTTGAAAAATAACCTTGTACATAATTGCTGGTCTGTTGATGATCGTGAAATTACGACTTGACCGATTTAGGTCACTGTCACAAAGTTATTTACGCAATGGAGATATTAACAAATTCTATATTTATACATTAAAAATGAGTCTTATTCATGACATTATATGTTGCTTTAATTCAAAATAAGAAAATCATAAAATCTGGACCCGATAGGTGTCGCAGTGGTCGAGTTATTATATCAAGCCAACTGTCTCAATTTTGAAAACGCTATTCACCAATGGAATAGAAACGGCTGATAAAGAAGATAGAAAATAATACAGTACGCATTAAAGGTCTTTGAAAATATTTAAAAATAGGCACTTCGTTTAGTCGTAATCAACGCTCGTCGACAATCATCATTATCATCGTTACAGATCTTCACAAGCTTGAAAATAAACTTTCTCCATAGAATACCATAAAATACGTTCCTGAACCACCTGCATCCATCAACTTCTTGCACGTCTTACCAGGTCGTCACTCCTTCTAGTGGGGAGTCGCCCTACACTTCGCTTACCGGTACTAGGCTGCCAAAAACGAAAACCTTTCTTCTCCATCGGTTGTCGGTTCTTTGAGCAAATTGATTTTGATGTTCACAAGACTGATGAATTTAAAGGTTTGACTTAGACGTTATATGGCCGTTTACGCGATAGTCAATACACCAGTTGAATGAGTAGTAGGTACAGGTTTTGCATGCATTTAGGCACAATATTATATGAGTTGAATCGTATACGAGACACATGAAACATAAAATGAAGCATATATGTTGAACGCATGAGCAAGTGATTACAGTCCGTTGGGGACCATGGGCTCGAATCTCTCCAGAGCGTATATTTGTGATAAACAAAAAAAATGTTGATTTTCGAGTATGGTGTTGTTTGTTCGTGTTTCTGAAACTGTATCTCAGTCTATTTTAGACCTTATCGCAAATATATTACAGCCTCTCACCCTAAGTCTAACCTTATCACATCGGAAATAGATTAAGACTAGTACTTGTCTCTATGTTAAATGTTAGCCCAACATATATGCTTGGTGACCTGTTCTACAAAGCAGATATTTTGTTCCATTAAAATATAGACATAAAGCAAAAATATAAAAACGACACTTTAAAACGTTTAAATACCGAATAAAAACTACGATTTAAGGAAATAAAATAAATCTAATAAGATTTAAGGAATATATATCTATGAAACTTGGCACCCGTTCAAATCTCAACTCTTTTAACGGCATAGCCGAGAAACCCGAACGTTCTTTATACAAAACTTGGCCGCATTTTTACATTCATGTTTTAAATGAGTTCTATTTGTTGCGAACACCTACATTACACGATACCTTCTTCGTCTTCATTCATCAGTCTGTAAAATTCCATTGATGGATATTTAAATCAATCATAGAAAGGATTTTGCACAACTGAAACGCTTGACGATATGTTTGCAGGCGGATTGACGATGCTTCTTCTACGTCGGATCCGACTATGTTAGTTCAGTCATTTAAGTAAATGGTACACACCTATGCCACACCACCTATCGGACACATGCGTAAGCTAATGGTACTATTTATCTATTTTTAAATTTCATCATTGTAATCCCTATTACAAAAGAATACAAAGGGCGGTAGTTTACCGTAGTTCTACGATATTCACCAGATTCAATTAACATTAACACCTTTTACGTCTTATACTATTAGTTTTAAAGGTGTCAAAAATTAATTAATAATGAACAAAGTGCTTTCGAGAACTAATGACGTCCTCTCAGAAAAATCGGACGTCATGCAGCGAGGTCATCAGTATGAAAGAGATTGAACGTGCGATTCGAAGTTTGAAATGTGGTAAGGCTGCGGGACTAGACAGGGTCTGCTGAAATGGTCAAGTATGGTGGGCCTCGCGTCTGGGACAGCTTTCATCTGCTGTACAATTTGTGCTGGCGGACGGGGGATGTCCCGGATGATTGGCGATCCGCAGTCATTGTGCCTTTATATAAAGGTAAAGGTTCACATTTTGACTGCGGGTGCTATCGGGCGATCAGCTTGACCAGTTTAGCAAGTAAAGTTTACTCGAAGGTTTTGACACGTAGGATGCAAGAGAAATCGGAAAGATTTCTATGGGAGGCACAATGTGGATTTAGACCTGGAAGAGGATGCACGGATCAAATGTTTTCTCTCCGCATGATCACGGAAAAGCTTCTGGCTACTAACCAGAAGATTTTCTGTGCTTTTGTGGATCTTGAGAAAGCATTTGATAAGGTTGTAAGGAATAAAATGTGGGAATTGTTGCCGGGGTATGGTGTGGATGGTCGATTGCTAAGGGCTGTGCAGTCTCTTTACTGTGACTGTAAAGCCTGTGTGCGGGTAGGGCATGACCTGTCACCCATGTTTAGCGTCCAAACAGGCGTAAAACAGGGTTGTGTAATGTCTTCCTAGCTGTTCATACTGTATCTCGACAGCTGTTTACAAAAGCTGAAAGATAGCTGTTTGGGTGTGAAATTGGGTGACATAAAAGTAAATTGTCTGCTGTATGCTGATGATGCAGTGCTTATTACACCATCAGAGGCAGAACTGCAGGCATTAGTCACGTGTATGAAAAAGGAATGTGAAATTATAGGTCTCCGTTTGAATGCTAATAAAACTAAGGTTCTGGTATTTGAAAGGGACGAAGAGAGAATGAAGTGTGAAATATGGGTAAATCAGGAATGTCTAGAACAAGTAAATGAAATTGTATACTTGGGGAGTGCTTTTAGCCGGGATGGAAGATGTGATTTAGATGTGGACAGGCGTGTCGCTGCCGGGAACAAAGTCAATGGTGCCCTGACTGCGTTAGTCAAAAGGCAAGGCGTAGTGAAGAGTGCACGCCTTGCAATACATAACGCAGTGTTGGTACCGACTTTGTTATATGGCAGCGAAACCTGGGTATGCCAGAAGAAGCATAAAAGCAAGTTGAATGCAGTGGAGATGCGATCTCTTCGTAAAATGTGCGGCGTTACCATGGCCGACCGAAAGCGAAACGAAGAGATTCGCAATATGGCAGGTTTGAAAGATGACCTTATCACAAAAATTGATAAGGGCGTGCTTCGGTGGTTTGGGCACGTTGAGCGAAGAGTGAAGACCGAATGGTGAAGAAAATATATAGCGCGAAAGTTAATATTAAAAGGTGTCGAGGTAGACCGAGACTAACTTTCGAAGACCATGTGAGCAAATTGCTCGAAGGGGGTAGGGTCAAGAGTACTCGGATACCTATACGTGCATGTATGAAGAAGATAATGAATCTGAAAGAAGCGAAAGAGGTATGTAAGGATCGTGACACTTGGCGATCTGTTCTCTCTGGCTACCCCGTCAGGGATTGTGCGTGAAGATAAGTAAGTAAGTAAAAATTAATTATCTCAGTTCCGAGTTTGAATTAACGGTCAGCCACCGCAGAGTCTACTTCGCCTGAGGATGGCGAAAACGTATCGTATTATTGAAGGTGGTGTGTCTTTCCTAGTGTAGGGGTATTGGGACTAGTGGTGATGGGGATAGTGCACGCAATGAGGGTTAATAATTTTCCACTCACCAGATGTCGCTAGTTGTGACTGAGGTAAAGTTTTCGTTACACTGTGTCAGTTAATTGAGAAATTAGTTTTAAATAATTTTTTTTTTAAATAGTTTGATTTTTAATTTTTACGCACTTTATAACTCTTTTAAAAAAAATCGTTTTTTAGTTATATTTATAGTTTGGTTTATTCATTTCTAATCTAATTAATATAGAATATAACTAATAATACAGAAAGAAATCTTAAAGATTACATTTCCCTAGGAAATTATCGTCCCCGCTATGAAATATGTCAAATATTTTACCTCACTGTTAAAGTGGCGCCGCCCTGGTGGCAGAAAAAGTAGTGGATGCCTTCAAACTGGGTGAGACATATTATTTCATTTTATTGCGCGGCACTGAGCAAATTAATTTTTTGACACCTTTAATATAATGGATTCCCTCAAAGTAACGTCTGATTCTATTAATTACAAACATTTTAATTCACAATTTTTCGTTAATATGATAGATATGTATACTATATGTTTTTAATCAGCTGACATAAAATGGCATATTATTCAACTCCTTTGTAGCCAGCCTTGCCGCCCTATTAAGTGTCATATTGCAATGTGAATGCAAAGCCTCTAAGCAATCACTTTCTTTCTTAGTCCATTTGGGTTCCATAGCCGCAGAAAACGCTGTACAAGAGAACGTGCATAATAGACTGATCAGTATGCAGACTCTCATTTTGAGAGCGTCGCTTGGCTGCTCTAGGAGCCTCAAGAAGTTAAACGTGACGTCCTCAAATAATATTTTCTCCACAACGTCAGCATGCTCGGGCAAATCTTGAAGTACGGTAATGAGAAGACCCACTGTGTTCAGAACAATACGTGGTGCTTTTGAGGCTGAAAAAGAAATCAAAATGATTATGTTATGTTATACATATAAAAGAGCATTTTCCTACCCCGGTTGAGCCGACCCATTCGTGCTACAACCATAATATAGCAGCGTGGTTCTACCACGTTATAAATATATTATGGTTGTAGCACGAATAGGTCGGCTCGACCGAGGAGGGACCACGCGTAAAAAGAATTATTTAAAGAAAAAAAAAGAAAAAAAAGAATACCAACGTGAAATGGCGGCTTAATGTTACTGTGTTTCGTATGGTAAATGTAGAGAACCGGAGACCTTTTACTAGAATCGAGGCATTCCATCTTATTCCTCAGGAGTGGCAACGAGTCTGCATTTTGATTCTTAGTCGAATATAGATGTCTATGGGACATAGATGTCTATTTCTTAAAGCTATAAAAATAATATTTTGGCAATTAAAAATTCTTTAGAACTGAATTTAAAACAAATTTCAACACCCTTGTTTGATTATTTTACCAATACTGAGCTCTATGTACCTTCATATTTTTAGTTCCTGTAATGTAAGGTAGTAGGTTAAGACAGATTATATATAGGTGGCAGGTAAATTAAGATAATACAGCGAATTCATTGTAGAATAAACTGTTATAGATTGCGTTACGTTCTTTGTGTTCTCTCCGGCTTTTATATACATTACAGTTCCCATGGCATAAGTATCGACATCTAGTGTCGAATATATTTAATTGCATTTGAGAGCCGACGCAGAGATTTTTCTAGAACCTTTATAATAAATTAGGTATAAAATTATCAGAGCGTCTATCTGAGTAGTTTTTACACGATAAAACACAACATTTCTTTCTTTTCTTCTTAATACTACGAAAATACATCGATTTGCGATTTTCGACACATAAGCGCAGAGAACGAACGCTGATAGTACACTAAGTAAAGCCACGCCCACTTTGATGACGTCAGGACCTAGTTAGAATCACAGTGCACAGTTGCTTATGCCATCTCCTTTTTGTATTTGCTCCGTGGTATCCACTTACCATGGGGTGGACTGTGTGTCCCTTTGTCACACTTATTCTATAAAAAAAATCTAAACTCTACGCCGTGTGTTGGCAGCATAAAATTCTCTTAAATTAAGCGGCGACTATGGAAAATTGCACAAAGATATTATAGTTTCCGATAGATGAATGATCACCATCTCGTTCACGCCGAACGTAAATACAAGTAACGGACAGCAGCGTCAAAGTTGCAAGATGATACTGCGGTCGCATATCCGCCTACCAATGCTATTCTAACAAATTCTTCTAAAGCTAATGCTCCATACTCGTCTCTGAATTAAAAAAAATCTAATATGATTTAAAATAAAATTCGTGTCTCGTTTATGGCAAAAAAATTTGCTATGAGAACACCTATGTTTTAAACCTCTTAGATGTTTTGAATATAACAAACTAAATGAATATGTATAATTTATTGAAAAGCTATTTCACATTTACACATATATACACATGTATACACACAGATACAGTTACTGACAACGCTGGACGGGCAGTTTGGTGAGTGTAGATTCGGTAGCCTAGCCTGTATGTTCAGTTAGTGCGATTTGGATTTAGATTTTGGGATATTATCTCGATTGCTTTCCATCATAAGGCCTGGTTCGTTCGACTCGCAGATAAAGTTTTGAAAGACTATGTACATGGTGGTATATTTCTTTATAAACCTATTTTTTTTATTTCATTAAATAAATATAAATTCTTACATAAAGTAAGCAGCTTCGTGAAAACAGGATAGGCATTGTACGAGACTAATGCGGTTGCCAACTGGCGCACTCCGCGACAAGAACGCACGCAAAGCCACGCGCATACTTCAATCATGCGACTCACACCCTGGAATCTAAAAGAAAAGAAAAAACAATAAATATTATTTTGAATGACATTTAACCTTTACGAATTTTGTTGCGTTTAATTTAGTTTTATGTTTTGAATCACTAATGATCATGGAGAGACAGGTGTTCAACGTTATTGCGTTTAAATTACTTATTATCATGCTTTGCAACAACAGAGAGAATTACCAGCGAGGTGTGATAGCTAAGCGATTGTCGTAAATATGTAAATATCACATTATGTAAGCAATCCGGGTTCGATTCTTGCCGGAACTACCGAAATTATTAATTGCAATTTTAAGTGCTGGTTTTCCATGTACTCAACGGCGAAAGAAAACATGGTGAGGAAATCTGCATGCCTCAGGAATATATATTTCTGTAATTATAACAATTTTCCAATTATCCTGTAATTATGGTACATATAAACGTAAACATGGGATGCAAGTTTGATTGTCACATCCCATGTCATAAATTTGAAAAGGGGACTATATTCGAAAACCGTCAATCGACAAAGCAAAAGACATCAATTTTAAAAATCAGTTTTCTTCTTTAGAGATTTCATTTTTTGGGGGTTTTTTGATGGATGAATAACTACCTAACATCATAAAATGGGAATCTTAGAATAAGTCTAATAATATTGAGACTCAAAATTATAAATATAAATTTCAGGGAAAATTTTATAACAAAACAAAATTTACAGTAGTATTCTTGATAATTCGGAATATAAATTTAATAAAAGAAGTTCAAATCTTAAGGGCTTCTTTAATTTCTACTTCCTTGTGGGTTTATTATGTCTGTACCATTATACACTAAATCGGTTTTAAAAGAAAATTTCGGTTGTTTAATTTAAGAAAATCTTATAATAAATTTTTTTAATACTATATTTTTGACTATCGTGCTTAGTGTCCAGAGTACATGGCCATTAAATGAACCTAATCGAAGCAAATATAGTGCACAGGGTTATTTTTCGAAGAATAATCAAATTTTATAGTTAAGTTCAAATATATAAATAATGATATACCGTTATTGCAGTTTTTTAGTAAATAAGGCTTCTAGTTTAGTATATATTATTATAAACTAGTTTATGTAATAAGACGGCATTTGTTTAATTAATGCTTCCTCGTTCCGATTGTTCCAATATCCATGAAATTACATCCAACCTCTGATCTTAACGCATACGCGTTACATTCATCACAAGTATGTGCTGCTTTGATTAGCGCTTAAGACTTGTATAACTTCCAGTTGATATCTTCCGTGATAATTAGAACGTCGTAGTAGTCTAAAGCGACTAAAACTATTTAGTCGCTTTAGACTACTGCTACTAGTAATTTTGGTATTTTTTATAAACATTTTATAAACAGCCATCTAACACTCATAGTCAAGATAGGAGCTACCCTGGGAGACGATTCAGGTGCTATCTGTCGAATTCAACCTTTAAGTATTTCATAGACAAACCCCCTATTTGACAGATGTTTGTTTATTTTTTAGAATAAGAGTGTCTCCAAACGAGCACACAGTCCACCTGATGATAAGTGGATGCTGTGACCCATAGATATATACATTTATCCCCAATTAAGAAACAAAATGCAGATATGTTGTCACCACTGAGGACTAAGATGGAATGCGTCGATTCCAGTAAAAGGGCATTTTTTTTTACGCTGGCATTTTGTTAGAGTGTGGCCCTACCCCGATTGAGCCGACCTATTTGTGTCACAACCATAATATAGCTGCAACGTGGCTCTACCACGTATACAGGAGTTGGTTGCTGACTGTCCGGATTTCGGCAAGAAAACAATCCCAGAGCTTATAACTTCATATCATGAAACATGTATTGGTAGAATTGTGAAAAAAAAGCAACAAAAAAGTTAAATTAGCTTAGCTAGTTTTCTTCTGTATTAAATTTCACTTTTGTTGCCATCGAATGATTCAAACAAACAGAATCAACATTTTTTACAAAGTTGTAATACACTATTTATTTATTTATTTATTTATTTATTTCAACTAACAACTATCATAACAGGAAGAAAACCTAATGCGACTATGTAAGTACTATCTATGTATTCACTTTCAGTAATACAAAGTGCAATACAATATATTTTTAAAAAAAACTTTTTCGAAAATAACCAGCGAACTTATTAGAATTATAATTATAACTTTACATTTATTTCTGTTTAATTTTTATTTACTGTCAAAGTGATACCTAGGTAGAATTTAATTATTAAATAGACAATGACGCATAAAATTCTATTCAGGTAGGGGTAGATGCATGTGTAATATAATACTAACAGTGAGTCAACTCGGCAACTAGACGGGGCAACGATGGGGCGCGGTATGAAAGAGAGCGGAATCCCTCCCCTGCCCGCGACGTCTGCGGCAGTACCGGTCGGCTTCGCTTGCGTACCGGTACGCCCATTTAGGAGTGTCACGTACATGGAATCAGTAGCACGCTTTTGGTGTTCACCCAGCAAGATGATATTAGTCGATATTATTTTTGAAACATTGGGAAAGATCGTATGACGCTTTAAGTAAAATTGTATTCTTTTAACCATGTGATTGCTTTCATCACGATTTTAATAGAATTATATGTAAGGATGAGAATTCATTATATCATTAAATTCAACAAATCACAATTTAAAACAAATCCTACCAATACTAACTAACCTAATAAATGTCGTAAATATTTGTCCGTTGCACATCTGTAACGAGGCGGTTGAATAAACAGAACCAACATATAATTTTAACCTGTTTTATTTATTCTGTTCAACCCCTATCAAATATTTTAAGCGGAATAGCTGAGATACTACTATATAGATAAAATAAAGTAAAATTAGGGAGGTACCAGCACAAGCCTTTGTTTCCATCACGACGAATCAGGTGAAGATGCGGAACGCAACTAGTTTTGTAAAGTAGTAATTAGTTTGTATCTTTGTACAGAAAAATAAATTACTACGAGGAATACTGATAAAATACAATATTATGATATTATTATTTAAGGAAATGCTTTTGTGACAACCCCTGCAAATTTTTAGTGACTTGACGCAGATACAGCCTTGTAGGTATTTTGCGGTATAACAAAGGAGTTGACCCACCATTAGTATATTAGTATATAGTTTATGAAAGACAAGGAAGATTGATTCAACATACAACCTTTAGGTAAACGTTGAATGATGGATTTCGGAGGACTGTTCACCCATCGACTATGAATTGCAGTGTTAGACACTTGGCTACATGGATCCATCTTAACAGAAAAATATTAGAGTTCAAATAAAATATTGTACCTGTCATCGGCTTCGCCCTCATTGTCGTCTGTACTTTTCATTAATGTGTTTATAGCAGCAACAAAGTTATAGACGACTTTCGCTTCCAGATACACCTGAAATTTATTAAGATAACTGGTATCACTAATTCTCCAAATACACGTCACGTAGTGGCGGCTAAATGAATTCACTGACCTATATAATCCCGTGGGTGTCTTAAGTGACGACAGAGGGAAATAAAATAGAAGATGAACTGCAGCATCTAACTGATATAAACACAAAATAAAAAAAACTGCGTTTGCCAACTTGTATGATAAGCGTGGTAAATAAAGAAAATATACCCCTTTATGAAACACAACATTGGAGAAGGCCATGTTTATAATATTACGTTTAGCTTGAGTATTTTCTCTGTCAGTTATTGTTGTTATTGTTTCTTGCCAAGTCTTTATACACTTCTATCCTTCTGACGCGGGACAAATATTATCCTTCTGAAAGTGCGTTCTCACAAAATAAAATGTAATGTTGTTCTAAACTAGTTATGGAACACTTGCCGTAGTAATATCCCAATAGGAAGAAATGGACGATAAGTCGTCGCTTTATTGCTACTTAGATAGACACACTTATCAATTCTATCTCTATCTATCAAGTAGTTAGCAGTTTTTTTTTTGTTATGGAAAACCGCGAGAATTTAATTTAATTACTTGTGTTTCAGTTTGTGTATTACGATTACGTCTATTATTATAAAACATTTTCTAAACTAAAACTGAAAATTATTCATCATCATCATCATCATCATCACCCTTACACCGTCACAAGTCGATTGTTGAACATAGGCCTTCCCCAAGGAATGTCAGAAAGCACAGTCGTAGGCCACCCGCATCCATCGACATCCTGCGTCTCTTACCAGGTCATCACTTCTAGTGGGAGGCTGCCCTACACTTCGCTTACCGGTACGAGGCTGACTCGAGAAACTTTCCCATCGACTGTCGGTTTTTCGAGTTATAATGGCCGGCCCATTGCCTCTTCAGCTAACTGATCTGTTGGGATATGACTACTGCGGAATCCTTATTTCGAAGTCTATTATGCATAGAAACTCTGAACATAGCATTTATTCTTTTATCAATTGAAAACAACAACATTAACCAAACTTATTTTAATATACTAACATCCTGTATGTTCAGTAGGGTGTGTCTAGGTAGGGAGTGTGATAATGCAGGCAAAGCTAGTAAAGCAGCGACAGCGCCGCATACACGGGCTCCCCTCTTTCCCCGGGCCGCACTTCCAACTACTCCCACCACCATGCTCACCTGCAAATTATATTGCATCTGAAAAATCTTACATTTTAAAGTTTGCGTATTTATAAAGTTATACGAAAGAATATGCAATTTTTTCTTCAAGTGCCAACTTCACCTACCCGCTGTGCATCCTGGCTTATTAACTGCCAAGGCTTTGGCAAGTGATTGAACTTAAATTTCACAGTCGCAATCATGTGATAAAAAATTAGCATTACTTAATAACCATAACGTCTCGCGCACTTACTAACCCGCATGCTCAGAGTTGTGACAATGAGCAAATCTTTCTAGTAATGCATGCCAGCTTGCAAATCCTTGGAAAGGCCTTTTAAAAACTTAAAAATGTTCGACTCAACAACATTTTAATGTGATAAGACGTATTCATAATTTATTTTTAAGCGTCAATTGTATGACGGATTTATTAATTATTATTGACGTCATTATTTATATAAAACCAGCGATCATACAAGTACACTATAAAGGTTTTATTATAACAATCAAATAAGGGGTAATATGCTTGCCCGCAGATTCGCCCGGTGCACTGCAGACGTGAAAGTAACTTTATTTAAAGCGTTCTGTCAGTCTTTCTATACCGGTGGTCTGTGGGTGACTTATACACGCCGGACCTACAGCGCCCTGCGTGTTCAATATAACAACGCTTTTAGAATGCTGTTGAGGCTGCCGTGGCGCTGTAGTGCCTCTAAAATGTTCGCAGACGCAGACACTAATGACTTTTTCGCCATAATGCGTAGAAAAGCAGCGTCTCTCCTGCAGCGCTTACGTACCAGCAACAACGGCATCCTAAGGGTAATTGCTGCCAGGCCCGACTGCCCCATACTGCACCACTGTATGACGGTAGCTATTGGGCGAAAAAAATAATTTGTACATAATTGACATTAACTAACAATACTAACTTACAAGTTAAGAAAAAAATTGTTACTAACATACTAACAATCTATGGATGTTCCTTACGTCTGAAATAAATACTTATTATTATTATTATTATTATATGAAACAGTTGGTTAAGTTGCAGCGAATCAGGTATGTTTGCGATGGAGTATACTGATGATCAGTTCTACGCTATCATGCGCAAGAAAGCAGCCTCCCCGATGTAGCGCCCTCGATAAATCCGTAAAAGGATCATGACGATGATTGTATTGAATATGTACCTAGTTAATATGAGAGAACAAACAATAAGTTTTAACTTTATAAGTATAATTGTTACTAACTTTTAGTAACACAATATGTTATCATCTGAAATTAATCTACTATTATTACATGAGCACATACAGGGTTATGTTGCAATAACCGGCCCAATTTGCAGAGAAGGTTCAGAATATGTAATATAGGCAAATGGTGAAGAAAAATTAATTATAAAAATCTCAAACAGTAACAGTATATCATTATTTATGTATTTGAACTTAAGTTTAAAATTTGGCTACTCTTTGAAAAATAACCCTGTATATTGCAAATGACAGACTGCAATATTGTGATTGAAGATGAACAAATTGAACAGGTGAAAGAGTTTGTGTATCTGGGTTCAAAGTTTACAAGAGATGGAAAGTGTGAGAGTGATATCGAGAGAAGAATGAATGCAGGAAACATGGTGAATGGAGCTTTGCACTCCTTTATGAGCAGTCGGAAGGTGTCTAACAAGGCTCGTTTGGCTGTGCATGAGGGGGTGTTGGTTCCGACACTCATGTATGGAAGTGAAACTTGGGTATGGCAGAAGAAACATGAAAGCAGAATAAATGCAGTTGAGATGAGAGCATTAAGAAGTATGATAGGAGTTAAACTGAGGGACAGAATAAGAAATAGTGAGATAAGGAAACGTTGTGGTCTGAAAGAAGATGTAGTGACAAAAATTGAGAAAGGTATGCTGAGATGGTTTGGCCATGTCGAGAGAATGAATGAAGAACGATTGACGAAAAAAGTGTATAAGGCGAGTGTGAATGAAAGTGTTGGAAGGGACCTAGGCGGACATTTCTAGACCAAATCAGGGAAGTCTTGAAAAAAGGCCAGGTCAAGAGTACCCTAAACCGTAAAGCATGTATGAAGGGAATAATGAAAGTGGACGAAGCAAAACAAGTATGTAAGGATCGTAGCAAGTGGAAAGAACTGGTCTCTGCCTACCCCTACGGGAAAGAGGCGTGATTATATGTATGTATGTATATTGCAATCTGAAAAATTGTATTATACAAAAACACGTGATACATTAATAGCGGAAACAATACTGTCAACACTAAATATACTAGGATGAAGCAAAGTTGAAATGCTTAAAATTCTTCAATTAACCTGGGCTAGGCTACTTTTAAAATCTAGACCTAAGAAGCTCGTACCAAAGCTTATCAAAAAAAATCTTATATTTTAGATGAAGGGTGGATTCTTAATTTGGCTTGCTTGCGCATTCACAGTATTATATCATTCATAACATATTAAACTCGTAAGATGAAATGTAAATTAAACAAAAAGTAAAGTGTGTAAATACCATATTCAGTTGCGTAAGTGATTCAACGTCACCGTCCATGACTTCAGTTATATTAGAATTAAGAAATGCCTCCCATTCCTCTAATTCGATCGTAGAAGGCTCTTTTACTGTAAAAATGTAATTTGAATTTATATGTCACAAAATAATTTTCGATAAACAATTAAATAAAATTAATAAACCAAAAACTAACTATATCGTTCACTTAAATAAAAACCCTACCATTAGAGCAAAGAAAAGAAAGAAAGATCTTTGAAAACACATATTAAAAATAAAAAGTAGATTGATGTGACAGAATAGCTGTCATGAAGCACCGATGAGGCTTCTGCATCGCCATTCCATTATTTATGATAGACCTCAAATCTGAGCACAAGTAACACTAATTTCTGCCTAGAATAATTTATGAGGCTACAATCATTAAAAATATCCTAATCTCATTATAAAAAAAAGACTGCTCAGTAATATGTGCTTGGGATTTTATACTTGATAAAATTGAATCCGAGCCCAAGCATACCAATGCAAGGTTTGAAGATAATGTACAAGTAAGCTCAGATCAAAATAAACATTGAAATGCTGAAGGTATCCCGGGTAAACCGTTATGCCAGGCTGTAGACGTCTGTCCCGTGTGAGTTTTTAAAATAAATTAAGATATATGCGATAATTCACGATGAATCGCGATAAATGGACTGTCATAAAAATGAATAATTATTTAATTAATAGTTTATATGTAAGAACACTTAATGAAATCATTTTAATTTTTTTTTTATAGGAGAGGGGGCAAACGAGCATGCAGCTCACCTGATGGTAAGTGACTACCGCCGCCCATGAACAACTGCAACACCAGGGAGGGAATTGCAGATGCGTTGCCGGCCTTTTAAAAAGGAGTACGCTCTTTTCTTGAAGGTCCCTAAGTCGTATCGGTCCGGAAAAATCGCTGATGGTAATCGATTCCACAAGGAAGTCGTGCGAGGAAGAAAACATCTTCTAAATCGCACAGTGTTGGACCGCCAATCATCCAGATGGTGTGGATGGTATCGGGAGTTCTGCCGCGATGTGCGTTCGTGAAATTTGGCGGCTGGGATTAATCCGAACAATTCCTCAGAGCACTCCCCATGGTAGATGCGAAAGAAAATGCAAAGGGATGCAACATCTCTTCGCAGTGCCAATGAATCGAGCCGATCGATTGAGCCGCTCTGCGCTGGATGCGGTCAAGTAGGAGCTGGCACTGGGGAGCCCCTGTCCAGAGATGGGAACAGTATTCCATGTGAGGCCGAACCTGCGCCTTGTAAAGTTGCAGGCGGTGTGCCGGCATGAAATACTGTCCCGCTCTGCTGAGCACGCCAAGCTTTTTAGAGGCCAATTTGGCCTTCTCTTCCAAGTGACCACGAAACTGCACGTCACTCGATATGTCGACTCCGAGGATACCGATACTGGCTGAGGCAAGAAGGGGAGTGCCTTGAAACTGAGGAGATACGACAAAAGGGTTCTTTTTGGCGGTAAACGCGCAAACTTGTGTCTTCTGAGGATTAAACTGGACTAGATTTAGTCGTCCCCAATCCGAGACTTTGTTCAGCAAAGACTCGACTTCAGACACAAGTTTGTTCCGGTACTCGGCGACGTTTTCCCGAGAAATATTGGCACGGCCGGTGTATAGAGCATCACCAGTGCTGTCATCCGCATAGCAATGAATGTTACCAGTTAGCAACATATCATTGATATGCAATAATCAAATACACTAATTTTAGATGATTGTGGATAGTAACAATTATCAATAATAAAAACTGCAGCCCCGACTGAACTTTTCTCTAGACTGCAATAATATTATGCTCTTTACCTACGAAATTCCCATTTAGTAAGGTAAAACAAAATTAAATCAAATTTATAAAACTATTAACATCACATTTAGATGAAGTAATTGATATAAGGAATCTAAAATTATTAATAATAGGATTGGCATATATTGAATATTACCTTCGTGGCTGTTATCAGCTCTAACTATGCAATCATTATTAGCAACATCTTTATCATCAGTTGTCTCTTCAATAATTTCACTTTTTTCAATATCTTCATCCTTATCTTCTTTAGAATATACATTTTTGTCATTTTCTTTATCTATGATACTTGGTATTTCTAAATTTGGTTCACTTGTACGTCTATGGGTATCAGTTTTATTTTTATCAAAACTTCTACTGAAGTGAAACGATCTTTTTATGCTTCTCGTTAGTCTATTGCCACTGCTACCAAATCTAAGCTTGTCTCTCGAAAATTGCAGAATTTTCTGTTTATACGATGGCGGAACACTTTTGCTTAATCCCGAACTAATATCGCTACTGCATTTTGTAGAACTTTTTGGGTTCTCCAGACTGTGTGACGCAGTGTCTACAGACTTGGATTTTTGCTTTGCTTCAGAACCTTCTTGCTCTTTTTTATTAGACGAATCATTTTCCTCATTAGCCTTGTTCACATCTTGCTTCTCTTCATCAATTTTATGCATCTTATTGAGATTTGATTCTTGTTTTGAATTTACGGCCATTAATTGCGCCATATTTTTTTCAAGATTGCACACGACAAGATTGGAATTATTCATAACATTGAACTCATGACGTAATAATTTGGCATTGGCAGCTGTAATAGGTTGCGATTGATCCTCATCGTCCGTTTTAAGACTATCGCGAACGCTAAATGCACTCGTAGCTCTTACACTATCGTCATCGGACATGGGAATAAATTCAAGGGCTTGCATGACGCCACCACGTATATTACGCAAATCATGTTCCTTGCCGACTTTAGCCACTTCGGTCCCGGCTTTCGTATTTCTGTTAATAAAAATCGTATATACATCAATATACTGAAATTCACAAGAAAAACTAATATAGACTTTTACAATATTTACTTTGCATTAATACTTATTTTATCCCTTTGCAATTGTTTCGCTTCTTGCTGGCTATGAGTCAAGGGCTTTGTAAATGGCGAATCACTTTGCTTATCTTCTGGTAATATAAGAATGTGACCAGTTACAAATGGATGCTCTAATATTTCCGGCCAACTCATTCGTTTTATTGGATCTTTGTGTAGCAAGCCCTGAAGTTAAAAAATAAGGTAATCAAATACCGTTAATTAAAAAATAAGGCAATTATTTTGAATTTTTCGTTAATCTTGATGTGGAAGTACCATTAAAGTCAACTAAGCATAGAAAATTGTTGAAATATCGCGCATTTAGCAAATTAACCATATCATTAACTTTTGGATCTATGCTTAATGGCGAAGAATTATCTCTCATTGCACCTATTCAAGCAATGTGTTTGGTAAAAAGCAAAACAAAGCTGACTCAAGTTCATGTAAGCTATACGAGAATCAGTCTGCACTCAAAAATGCCATGGAATACGTACTATAATTAGTAAAGAGTTATAGTGAGGTGGGGTAAGACTAACATAGTATCCTATCAGACAGAAGAAAAAACGGTTTTTATGAAGGAGAGCCCTACTTTTGAGGTACAAATTACACTGATATGATGATAAAATAAGCTTAAATATGATTATGAAAATTTTTGTATAAGTATTTTCGAAACGGTAATATTGAAGAAAATTTAAAACGGGAAAAAACTGTTATCCTTTTCAGTCCAGAAGCTTGAAAACGTCTTCCAATGCAGCGGTGAAGAGTTTCGGGGATATAACGTCACCCTGTCTTACACCTCTCTGCAGTTGGATAGGTTTCCTACTCTGGTTATGTACTCGGATTGCCATCGTAGCCCTTCTGTACAAACACTTCAGCACTTCGATATAACGACAGTCAACTTGGTACCGCTGAAGGGACTGCAGCACTGTCCAAATTTCGATGGAATCAAAGGCTTAACCTGGCAACTTACATGAATTGTTTTCACTTCTAAGATTTTTAATGACGTTTTTCGGCCATAGTTACTTGCAGTAGAACATCAGTGTTTTGAGCCGGGAACTTTTACCTATGAACTGTTTTGTCGCCTAAGAGAATTTCGTAAGGAAGCTATACTTATCGAGATACTAAACAGTGATTGTATGGCCTCGGAGATAGTCTTACCCCACCTGACTATATATTACTCAGGCAATTTCACTAATAATATTAGTTAATGAAGCTGATAGACAAAAAAAACTTATTCAGCATCAGTATCAAAAATATTATGACCCCTTGTTTTTTCCCCCAAAAATAACAGAATTACAGACACACCTTTTCTTTATATTTATCATAAATATAATGTAAAATACTTCAAAATTTTAATTTTAGTAATAAGTTATTCTAAAATACTTACTTGTAAAAATGACCGTGCTTCCATACTTATGAAACTAGGCCACTGCACAGGTTTATGACGAATCATTCGAACCAGTTGCCAAATGGACATTGTACAAAAAGGTGGCTGCCCCGCCATCAGCTCATATACAATACAGCCCAAAGACCAAAGATCAGCCTGAAATTTTTAAAAATCACCCAAAAGTTTAGTATTAAAAAATATTGAACAAAAAATAACATAATAGGTATTTGACATAAATTATAAAATACTAGTTGTTCCCCGCGACATCGCCCGCGTAGAATTATTTTGTGCGAAACCCTAAAATAAAAGTAGCTTAAGGAGTAACTTCCTTATAACATCAGCAGGTTTTTGCCGACTTACTTAACATCTATCACATTTTGGCCAATTTACACAATATCTTTATGAATTTTAGTCTGTGTTATTCTGATGTATGAGCTATATAATTGTAGTTTCATTAAAATCCATTTAGTAGATTTTACGTGAAAGAGTAACAAACATCCATACATCCTCACAAACTTTCACGTTTATAATAATAGTAGGATTAAATGTAATACTTTGTGATTTGAATTAGGAATTTTTTATTGTCTTATAAATACCTGATGATCATATGGTTTTTCGTCAATCAATTCTGGTGCCATGTAAAGAGGTGTACCCTTGATTGAAGTCAAAATGTGTGTTGCATTAGTCATGATCCGTGCAAGCCCAAAATCACATAGCTTAGCTCTTCCTGAATTATCTAATAATACATTTTGCGGTTTTAAATCTCTGGAAAAATTTAAAACCTAGAATGTTAAGTTCCTTAAAACTTATTAACAAGTAAACTTTTCTACCTAAGGATCTGGGAGTTGGGTTGGTACTGCCTATTTTCGTCGCCAAACAACGGTAAATCCACTGTCATGTTCTAGTTTGAATGGTAAGAGAGCGGTAGAATATCAGGCTTTAGTCTTTCTTTGACAAGTTTACTATTTATACCATTGAGAATTGAAAAAAATGATGATTGACAATGTTATTATTAAACAACTGACTTTTCAACTCTGATGAAAAAATGCAAAAGGCCTTCAAACAATTCACAAATTTCTTTTTCAAGCATTTCAATTTAAACTAGGAGCTAACTTAAGCCTCATTCAATTTAGCAAGCAGCGGCAACAATGAACTTCAATTACATTCACATAAAAACATGAATGAATACACAATAATACAATACTTCAATTATAGAATATTTCATATGAAATCAGAAATAAATGCAGACAAATATGGCAGATATTTCATTTTTGACAAAAAAAGAAATTTTGTTGTGACATCAAAAATATCTTTGACTGTTTGGTTCAGCCTCGGCCATTACAACTCGCATGGTGCCTGCGTAGAGCCAAGAAGTTCACTTCTTAAAATGTTGGACCAAAAAGAAACAAGTCAAGTCAATTATTTATTTGGGTTGACTATAAACGTCCGGTACTTGATTTTATGTTTTCAGTTAAAGTGGCTTATCAGGGTTAAGCTAAGCAGGAAATGTGTTTTGAATTAATTACAATAAAAATAACATTCACTAAAAATTGCATATAACAAAATGAAAATATGTCAATTTGGTATTTTTGCAACACTAATATAGCCCATATAAAGTTAATCATATAAAATGTTAATCACTTGGACCCAGACAATCCATTTGTGGCTGAAGATGGCTCATACACAACAGAGTCGCAGTGAAGAGCAGTCAAGAGGTTTTTCAGAAAAAAAATTATAACAATTCACAAAATTATGCAGATGTAATAGTAGTGTTTGTAAAAGGTAAATGAATGAAAAATGGTGAAAAATATAAAAAGGATCTATTTGAAGAAATTATGCAAGCATTAAAGCATGTAATTACAATTAAAGAAATAATTAAACCCAAAAATTACATTGTTTCATTTACCACTATTGTAGCAGAGTTTAGGCAACCTGACTATAGATAAGATCTGTCAGGTTGAATCAGCACACTCCAACGCCACATAGTCTTGTCTGCCCTACGCCTTGTATTTTTATAAAGCTGGAAGCATGGAGGGAGAGCAGTCCCTGCCCGTCGTAGCAAATTGAAGGCATTTGTGCGAGTTGTAGCAGCTGAGTCTGGCCAAAGGCAGGCCAGAATTGCTTTTACATAAAAACCAAGCCAAACCAAAAAAAATAGCCTAAGTGAAGGTGGAATATTTATTGTATTAAATCCAAATTCAAATTAACTACAATTGCCTAACTCTGTAAACTTATACTCAATAATGAGTCAAGTCTTAGTTATAATACTTAACTGAAGTTAATATGGAAAACAAAAATAAAGCCTACCTGTGTAATACTCTATGTGAATGTAAGTAATATAGGGCTGAAACTAAATCCCAAGTGATTTTTTTTACTTGCTCTTCATTCAAGCATCCTTCTTTTGCCAAAATGCTGTGCAGTTCTTTTTCTGCATATTCTGTAACAACAACTAATTCAGATTCTGTGTCAAAACTATCTATCATCCGAATAATGTTAGGATGCTGAAGCTGCCTCTGGATGTCACATTCTTGTCTTAAATTTTTTAAATCTTTTGGCGATCGTCCCTTCTGTAATATATTAAAATAATTTATTAGATGTACGATTGAAAGGAACTATAGGAGGTACAGTAAATAACAATTTAACTTACCTTTCTTATTACTTTTAAAGCAACTACTGCATCAGTCTCTTTATGTTTTGCTTTGAAAACACGACCAAAAGAACCTTCTCCAATAAAGGAAATGACAATGTAACTTTCCATGATAAACGCTTAATGCTTAGTAAATTATTTAGCAATCAAGATTTTTGTTTGGAACTTTTCTTGTTTGGGTGAATAATTGAATTGATATGATGTTTATCGTCTTGGTCATTTCCATTTAAAAATAATCTTTGAATGTGTTATTTGTTGAAAACATACCTTTTAACGCAAATATTTTAGTAATGTCAGAAATATATTTCAACTACCACGAAAGAAATCATAAAATCTAAGAATAATGTGTTGTGTTTTAATAAAATTAATTATTTTATTACTTTCAAAACAAAACAAAACAGATTACAACTTTATAATTTGTGACAGATTACACGATAGAGTAAACGTCAAATCAAATTTTTCAAACAAGACAGGCAAAAGTCATAGACCATACAGTCTAATGTGTATTTTTATTTAATAGACTATTCACTAAAATACGGCACAATAGCAGTGCCAGGTAATTTGCACACAAATAATTTTAATCATTCATGAATATAATATTTTTAGTACATAATAATATTTATAATATAATTTTCAGATCATGATGACGAACTCAATGCAATTGTGGATGTTGAACTTCTACCTCAAATTGGTGAGGCCAGAGGAAGAGACTCCAATAATGCTCTTCTATGAGCATTTATTAATAGGTATTTTAACTAATTAAGGCTATCAGTAAGTAGGTGCTACATTTTAGTTTTCAATTATTTATTTTTCAAGAACTTGTAGTTTTTTTTTATAATGTCAATTATTTTTATTAATGTCTCCTCTAGGTCCAAGTTTCTTGCTTTCCTTCCTTCATTTGCCATTTGGACTTGATGGACCTCTTTCCTACACTCAATTTCAGTATTGGCTATACTTGCTGCACGATCAGAGGTCTGAAATAAAAATAGTTGTTTGTGTATTTAAAAAAAAATCAAAGCAACAATTTCATAAACTAACATAATCCCTATTAGAATAGAGGTCATTGTATTTACTTTTTTCTCACTTTTATATTTTCTTACATGTTTCTTAGAAGGTGTAAACAGTGGTTTTGGTGGTGAGCCTGTAGCTACAACCTGCAGCAATGAAAACCGTTAAAAGAAACTTGTTTAGATTAACTTAATCTTAAATGTTTCATCAAATAAAATTCAAGTTTAAATAGACCATTTTATTTTATTCAAGTGTTACTTTTATCCCTAAACTTTACAATCCACATACTGGGAGATAACTGCTTCCATGGCTTCAACAATATCAGGATTACAAATCAAGTTACGGGTTCGATTTCCAGTTTGGCACATGTTTACTTAATTTACGACTTTTCACATATTTACCTCTTGTGTATTTTGGACGTCCTGAAGTATTTCTACTGTGACATCCTTTACTGTACTCATTGTGTCCTACAACAGTAAAATAAGATAAAATTAAAATTAGATATGAAAAATATAAAAATGACTTGCTATCTCAATACATTATTGATGCTTACAATATCTGAAGATTTGTTTGTCACTTTGATCTCATTTTGCGATGGCTCCCCAATCTACAAACAATGCAATAAATAATTCAATTACATACTAATGAACTATATTATGTAAGTATGAATTTTTTTTGATAACAATATCATTAAGTAAACTTTAGTAGGTATTTAGGCAGAAAAGGAACAACAATTTTTATCAAATGAAAGTTTGCACTAATTAGAGATAAAATTTGGAACTTTTAACTTAGAATCTTGACATACATAATACCAGATTTATTTCATCAGAATCAAATTCATTTGTGTCAATGACAAATTTGTTAGGGAGTCATGAGCAGATGTCATCTGCATTTTCGGGGTTTGTTGTTGGAGGTGGACCACCACCAGTCTGGAGAAGATTCTCACGTTCAACAGACTTAATTTTCTTTTTTGTCATTTTAATAATGCTCCATTAGAATTTTATTTGTGGGAGGGTCCGAGTGCCACCTTTGCACATACTGTTGAAACTGGAAAAAAATATAACAATGTACATAAATGTTTAACATTTTAATATTCAAAATGGGCTAATCTTAATGCAAGCAATCCTGAGGACTTGGTTGCACTTTCTTATATATCAACCCGTCCAATCCTATGTTCTATGAGCTATGTGGACTGCCCACTGTTACTTAAGTTTTCAACTTAAGTCTGAACCTGTGTCAGCAACTTTATTCTTCAATAAGTTTCATTATAATGAATCCTATTGGATAGGGAGGCTCCTGTCATAGCTCTTCCCGAAGACTGTTAAGTGACTTTAAACTTATATGTATTAGGCCAGCTAGAGACAAAGTGACATGCTTCTGTTGCATAGTAATAACTGACCGTATATAGAATATCATTGCGTTGAAGACTCGTCTTCAAACACTTCACACATTGATAGACAAAAATAGGTCTGCATAATAAATCCGCCCATGCTGCTAGCTTTTTTGAGTTCGTATTTGTATCAGTATTTTTATTTTCAATCACTAATACACGCTCTCTTAACAAATCCATTAATAAATACTATGGAAAGAAAAGGGATATTATTATAACAACACAATGAACTAACACTTGTGCACTAAGCACCTATAAAGAAAATTACTTTAGTTACGTTTAGGACGTACGTACCTTATCTTCCTCTGGCCAAATTTCGCTTCTTTGCCGCTTTTTACTTGTACTGTTTTCCATTACTATTGAGTAAAAAATATAACTGAAATCAATTCCTTGAACCGATATAAGAAAACAACGCGCTTAATTTGAGGCAAATGTCACAATCAAGGAACATACTATTCTCTAGTTCCTTGCTAAAACCGTTAGTGTGACCAGTGTGCAAGGTAGCGGGTATTTATTTTTTCCTATGGTATACATTAGCAATGCACACATGCATAGATGAGCATGTGTGTAGAGTCGAAAATTCGTCGTAGAAGTTGAAGAACTATGGAGTGTAGAGTAGAAGGAGGACCATCTCTGTATATGAAAAGTGTCCCTAAAAACGTGTCCAATAAGGGTGGCGCTGCAGTAGCATAGGATAAATTAAAAAAGAAGCGCCAAAAGTATTTATAGTAAGATGGAGAAATTAATAAGGACCGATCAATCCGCTTGGTTTTGTACTACGTAAATAGTTGAGATTTTGTATATTAGCGTTTTACTAACTACTCTAGTCATGAAATATTTGAATTCAGCTGACTTCACTCCGTGCATAACATCTATCTTCATATCGTAGTTTTTCAGACGCCAGCGCTATTGTGGTAGGTTTTGGAACCTCTATTTACAGTAAATAGTAGGACACTTTTTCAACCTTCGCTCCTTATAAGATGGTTCTCCTTCTACTCTACACTCCATATGAAGAACCCTGGATTGCTGTCAAACTTTTTTTTCACCGTCGCTAGTCTATGGATTCATCAGAATGACAACATAATAAAACTGAAGTATTTATAAATTCGATTTAACTATGACAGGTTTATAAAACGTTTATGAGTTGAGAATTTTATAATAGGTTTAATAGTACTAATGAGCATTTTAACTAATGAGTGTTATAACGCCATTTTAAGGGATTTTTATGAATAAGACTGTAAGTGTATGACATAGAAGCATAAAAATGTGGCAACTTCTTAGTGATGGCAATGACTGTAAGCTGGACAATCACTTTGTCAGTTACCCTATAATGAAGTTAAAAGCAAAACTATCACAGCTAAGTAGAATTAAGAAGTTAACGAGTAATAGTCGACCAACTTATAGAATAAAGTTGGATTAGTAAAAATTTCGTTACAACTTCATAGAAAATGACCTAAAACTACAAAACCCTACCTCTACATTGTGCGTGGCGTGGCACGATACGCAGTTGACCAGTTTTTAAGCGTCCTGGATTTGTGATTTTTACACTTTTCAAACGAGCACTGAGGAATGTTTACCGTCTGAGCATTCGAATGCTACTAGATTACAAGCGCATCCAAATTTTCAAGTGAGCGCTCATTCAGTAAGGACATTTTTGTCACTGGTTGTGTATCTAGTTTTTTATTAGTGATCGATGGTTATTAAAGGTTCATCAACGCATCAGCGGTCAAGTTTGCGCTAGCTATAAGCATTATAACGTAAAGACAGTTAAGAAAACGTGTTTTTTCTTTAAAACGTATATTAGTTACGCATAACTGTCTATTTCTTAATACGACCGCAGCGCTGCACAACGTTGCGTTTGCTTTAGCGGCCCGGATCGCGATATTATTATACATCTGATTTTGGTTTTAAGTAGGCATAATTTATTTTTACAACCATCACCATTATTAAAATCTCGACTGGGGGTAAATTTATAAGATATTGTAAATAGTTAGATGATGATGTACATAATAAGACAAAATATGTACATAAAATGAACTTTTAAGTAAACTTGATTAGCTCAACAAGTCCTGGAGAAACTACAAAAGAAAGTTTATTTCAGCAACTATATACTAATTTAGTATGTACATACATCTTAATAGTTTAAATCACGAAACGGAATTACACAGACTAATAAGAGGATATTACGCACCGGAAATAGTTGTGGTGACAACTGTTCTTTATCTAGGTGTTGTTAAATTGCCGTTACACGGAAGAAAGAGAATTATGAAATTCTTCATAATATGTTGATGCGATACATTGCAATGATTTTGGAAGATTATGTCAACAGTTAAACTTAGCAGATAGTCAATAATGATGGTACCTCAAGGCCTAAACGTATAAGGAAAGGAATAAGATGATACAGTCTTCAATTTTAAGTTCAATTTATTTTACAATAAGCTGATGCGTCACATGCGAAGTTTTGTGGCCGGTGGATGAAAAAGGGGAGATCTCCTACCGGGCAAGGTGTTAAACCCGGAGAGCGAGCAACGCTCCGAGTGGTAGTTAGGAGCTATTCTAAATATTATACTTACTGTTTTTACTTCGGAACTTTGATAGCGCGATTTAGGCTTCGATGTGATTTGCTTGTGGCGCGGCGTCAGCGCTGCCTTTTTGAAGTCAGTAGAAAATACACATACATCATTAAATCACTTAATTTACGGGAGTACGTTTT